AAATGAAGAATAAGATTCTTTACTTAAAATACTTCATACGTAACTAAATGTCAGCTTATTTTTTAAGAAAAGCTGAGACTCTTCTAAATTTTAACAAGAATGAAAAATACCTACATACGATTACAACACAAAACACAAGAGTACTACTCTACACTTTGCCCAGGGCTGCACGTTGAATTAACTGCTTTTGTGGCTAAGGATCAGAGCGCCTGGTTTTCTCATTCTTCATTCATTTACTCAGCAACCATGTGCTAAAGCACTGTGACAAGCACTGGAACCACAAGATGAAGATGACAGAGTCCACCCTGAAAGATCTTGTACCGTAAACTGGAGAAACAGATGAACAGGCAGTTTCGGTACAGAGACATAAATGCCATGACAGGTATAAAAGAGGGCAGAGTTGGAACACTCAGAAGGGACGTCCAGCTTTCTGTCAATATTGTCCCCTCTTTGGTGGCCGTGATGTGTAAGCAGATACCTGAAGGAGGAGGAGAAAGTGTGGGAGGGAGAGGCAAGAAGCAAACACAAAGAGCAGAGGCAGGAAGGGCGCCCGCGGAGCTGGACGCAGTCTGACCAGTCGCTGGAGCCAAGGGGCAGAGCAGGGGAGTAAAGAGATACGGCTGAAGACTCTGGCAAGAGCCAAATCGATGTGGGTACTTTTCTTCCAAGCTAAGGAATTTGGAATTTTTCCTGAGGGCACAATGTTATTAACCAGTGACAAAGTGAATGAAAGGAAATTAATTGTCATCCACCAGGGGACAGCTACATGAACTGTGATTGCTTGAGTCTGGGTTTTTGGCCTCAGTCACTACCAAACTCGAGAAGCTGATGACCTCCATGCTTTCTGAGAACAGGTCCGTGTGCAGGTGACAGGCCCACGGGGACAGCAGGAGAAGGGCACAGCCAGAAATAGAGAGAGAACACAGACTTCTTGATATTTTTTTAAAGCTATGGATCATGATGAATAAATGAGGAGTAAGTACATTTATCATTATGAATCAAATTACGCTTTCACATTTTTCATTACCTATGTGTAAGAAAAAACCTAACATAGTATCTCTTATTCAAACAATAGAAAGAGGTGCCATTTACTGTTTACAGTGTATTTCGGAAATCAATGTCTAAATTTAATTCAGAAATGTTGGCAACATACCTTCTTTTAATTCTCTATCTATATTATTCTCCAACTTCTTCCGCATCTGAAATAAGTCAAACATTATTTTTAATGTTTAATTT